ATTTTCTCAGAAGCAACGCTGACATGTTCACATGGTCACATGAGGACATGCCAGGAATCGATAGAGGAGTCGTGGTACACCGACTCAACATCGACGAGAGCTGTAAACCAGTGAAATAGAAGCGTCGTGCATTCAACCAAGAAAGGAACGAGATTGTGGCTGAACAGGTAGAAAAGCTACTGAAAACAGACTTCATTCGAGAGGTGCATTATCCCCAGTGGATATCCAACGTGGTACTGGTGAAGAAGCCAAATGGAAAATAGAGAATGTGCATCGACTTGAGAGGTTGAGTTTTATGGATGCCTACTCTGGGTATAATCAAATCAAGATGCATTTACCAGATCAGGAGAAGACCTTTTTTGTCACGAGCCGAGGTTTATATTGCTACACGGTAATGTTGTTCGGGTTGAAAAATGCAGGCGCAACCTACCGACGGATGGTAAATCGAATTTTTGCAGCCTTAATTAGCAAAAATATGGAAGTCTACATGGACGACATGCTGGTAAAGAGTCGAAAAGATAAACAAGACGAGGAAGATTTGGCAGAAGCATTGACGTTTTAAGAAAGTACAAGATGAAGTTAAATCCTACTAAATGCACGTTTGGAGTAACCTCAGGCAAGTTCCTTGGATTCCTAGTACACCAAAGGGGAATCGAAGCCAATCCAGATAAGATCAAAGTTATTTTGGAGATGGATCCACCTAGAAATCTAAAGCAACTACAGGGACTCAACGGAAGGWTAGTARCGCTCAACAGGTTTGTTAGCCACTCAACTGACAAGTGCATGTCGTTCTTCAAAATCCTAAGGAAGAAAGGGCAATTTGAATGGACAGAAGAGTGTGAGGCTGCCTTTAAAGAGCTAAAACAATATCTGGGGGCAGCCCCGCTCCTCTCAAAACCGATCGCTGGTGATGAACTCTACTTGTACTTAGCTGTATCCGACGCTACTGTTGGCTTTTTGGCCTTAATCTCAAATTAATTAATTTTAATTAATTAATTAATGTTTTGATGATAACAAACTTAATTTTATTTATTGACATTTTTTGTATTTTAAAGTGTCCACAGCGTAGAGCTCGTTACAATGATTCCAACGACTGTTAGATCATCCAAATCGGAGCTCAAACGAAGAAGTTACGATCGAAACAAATTAGAAGGAAAAATACCCGAGAAGATGACGTGGACATGACAAGCTTCTTTTTAAAATATATATATTGAAAAAGAAAAGAAAAAGATTAAAAAAAAATTCAAAAAGTTACAAACGGTAACTTTGTTTAAAAATATATATATATATATATATATATATATACATACATCATGTTAGTATTAAATGCTGACATGCCAACGGTTTGCAACAGTGCATAGGCAACCGCCAGAGCCTCTAACAAACATAATGAGTCCTTAGCCCTTTGTCCAATGAGAAATAGACCTCATAGGACCTCTCCCACTAGAAAAAGGCCAAACCAAATTTGCGGTGGTAGCAGTCAACTATTTCACCAAGTGGGCCGAAGCCAAAACCCTAGCTACAATTACTGAGAAGAATGTCACCGAATTTATCTGGAAAAATATAATTTGCCGCTTCGGAATACCCTACACCATTATCATTGATAATGGGAAGCAGTTCGACAATGCTACCTTTCRARAATTTTGTAGGGAGCTGGGCAATTAAGCATATTTGTTCTTCGCCAGCGCACCCACAAGCTAATGGGCATGTTGAAGCAGTCAACAAAATCATCAAAAGAACTCTAAAAACCATATTATAGAAGCTTAAGGAATTATGGGCAGAAGAACTTCCCAATGCGTTATGGGCCTACAGAACAACACCCTRTACATGAACACGAGAAACGCCGTTCTCGCTATCATTTGGTTATGAGGCAGTAGTGCCGGTGGAAATTGGTCTYCTCTCCCCAAGGGTAGAGTAGTTCAGTCTACCTCACAAAATTGAATCCATGCAGCTCAACCTCGACCTGTTAGAAGAACATCGAGAAACAACACGACTACGAACAATCGAGTATAAAAATCGAATAGCTCGATACTACAACTCGAAGGTTAAGAAACGYGACKTTAAAGAAGGTGATCTAGTTTTAAGAAAGATTATGCCTAATACCAAAGATTCCACTAGTGGGGCGTTTGGACCAACATGGGAAGGCCCGTACAAAGTCACTAAAGTGGTTCGAACAGGCACTTACACCTTGGAAGACCAGCGTGGGAAGACCTTACCACATCTATGACACGCTCAGTGTCACAATCGCACTTTTCAGTTCTTTCGACTTTGTCTTCTTGGCAGATGAGACACGTCTTGGTGTATTGCATAACGTCGTCTCGCAGGTTCGGCCAGTAGTACCCTTTCTTCAGTAGGGCATATGTTCTCTGCCACCCAGTGTGGCTAGCCCACATGGTGTCATGACATTCTCCCATCAAGAGTTTCCTCAGGTTTCCTGCTCGCGGAACATAGAGACGATTGCCCTTGGTAAAAAGGAGGTCGTCTTCGACCCAAAACTGGCGGGTCTTCCCGTCTTTTACTAGCTGAATGATTGTTTGCTTTGCTGGATCGTCTTTCAGGTGTGCCTTGATCGCTTCACGAACAGACCCCGTCAACTTACTTGCTTTCAGATGAGCTAACATGCACAGGCCCGCATGTTTGCTCTTTCGACTAAGGGCGTCTGCTGCTTGGTTTGACCGACCAGGCCGATGTTCAAATTGGAAGTCGAATTCGGTGAGGTACTCTTGCCATCGGGCTTGTTTCGAGGACAACTTCGGCTGATTGAAGAAATGACATATCGAGYTGTCGTCGGTTTTGACAACGAACTTGGAGCCTAAGAGATATTSTCTCCAGGCCTTTAAGTAGTGGACCACTGCTAACATCTCTTTTTTAGAGGCTACATACCTCTTTTCTGCGTCGTTCAACTTTCGGCTTTCGTACGCCACTGGATGTACATCTTGCAAGAGGACACCGCCCAGGGCGAAGTCTGAGGCATCAGTTTCTACCTCGAACGGCTTGGTGACATCTGCGATACCAAGCACCGGTCCTTCCATCATGGCTTTCTTGAGTTGATCGAAAGCCGCTTGACACTCCGRAGTCCAACTCCAAGTATTATTCTTCTTCAGGAGTTCAGTTAATGGTCATGCCTTCTTCGAAAATCCTTCTACAAATCTTCGATAATAGTTTGCTAGCCCGAGAAAAGACCGCAGTTCGGTGATGGAACTCGGAACTTTCCAATCTTGTATAGCCTTGACCTTTCCATCTTCCATGCCTATTCGACCGCACTCGATCACATTGCCCAGGAAGTTGATGSGTTTTTGCGCGAACGCACATTTCTCTCTCTTCACATATAATTCATTATGTCTTAGCTTCTCGAAGACCAGCTGCAAGTGGGTCTGGTGTTCCGCCATAGAAGAGCTGTAGACTACTATGTCGTCGAGGTAGACTACCACAAATTTGTCGAGATATTCGTGGAACACCTGATTCATCAAGGTGCAAAACGTCGCTGGGGTGTTGGTAAGGCCAAAGGGCAT